CCCCTATTTTTCTTCATTTTTCAACTTTGATCATCGCTAATTTAAAAAAATTCTATGTAAGTTGCGAAATATTTGGTATTTATCTAAAAGAAAATTTATTTTCGAATAAATTTATACCTCATCTCATAGAATTGCATAACAATTGTCGAAGTTAAGCAATTTAAGCAAAAAATACGGCCCTGAATTTATTTGTGTGTATGTACCGGACGTGCAGATTTTTTGAGCAGTGTGGCTAACTGACCGTCTCCACTGGATAAAATTTATTGCTGTCCAGCTGTCGTTTTGGTCACTAGATATAAGTTATATCAGTGGCATTATTTGTGTGGGCTTTTTATATCTCCGATCTCGACCGAATTTGATATACACATTGTGCTTGGCCTCCTTAAGCACCGTGCTGAATTTTTTTTTTTCAAATTGGACACAGATGAACGACTTCATTCAAATTCAATACCTCCGCTCCTAAAAGCTTGCGCATCGCTTAGATTTTTCGCAGAAGGAAGTCCCACAGCAATAACTTCAATTCGGTAAACTTAACATGTCGATAGTTTTAAGAGGTGCTTCAGTTGATAAGGAAAAAATTTGCAATCAGTGTTAGCTTTTGTTTCACCAAAAGCGCGGACTACACGAGAAGTAAAATTTCCCATTGTTGTTTTGTTATTTTCACGATATTCTGTAAAAGCAAAATGCGTTGCAAAATGTTAATATCGATTAAACTATTAAAAACTAACATATTTCGTTAGTTGTGCCGGCTCGAGGTCAAATGGTTTTAGAAAATTTTAATTAAATCAGGATTTTAATTTTTTCCAATATATTTCGATTACAAAAATCCTCAGTCTCATTGCGAGAGTCGTCCCGAATGCAAGTCGTTTTTCGAGAGTCGAATCGTATCGAAAATTTCACGTCGTTGCCTAAAATTGCCACGCGACTGGTATATTAATGCGGCAAAACTTGGCAGCACTCATTAGCGCACACAAGGGGTGGGTTTTGGGGTTCAAACCCCCCTAAAGCTAATAACCTCAAATACGAACTGTATCTTAAAGCTAAGAATCCAGCTCAAGAAAAATCACAAGAAATATTTTTTATTATTTCTGTTGAAAAAGAACTTCCCTTTCGCTATAAATTTTCTTGAAATAAATATACGAGCATTTTTCTTGAGAAATGCAAACTGATTTAAGAAATTTTGGTAAAGGATTTAAGAAATTTCTTGTGCGTAATTTTATGTACATATATGAATTTTTCGCTTTTCTTGAGAGCTATTAAAAGTTTAAAAAGCACCATCTCCATCGAAAACCAGCAGCAAGATTCCCAGCATGTGCTACAGCTGATTTTGATCGCCAAAAATCTCCAAAAGAATAGCAGGAACGCCTAACAACACGCAACATTTAGTTACATGCCAGACTTAGCCGATTAGTTACACATTACAGCTATTACTTTTCGCTTCAGTATACTTTTAGGCCCACTGCTTTTCATTTATAGAATTATTGCGACGAAAACTTAGCGTTGCGACCAGAAATCGAGGAAAATGATCATTAAAACTCTTTTTTTAATTTTTTTATTACTTTTGAAAGTTCATATCATATCATTCAATTCTCATATATAAATTTAGGAATACCGTTAATTTTTTCATGATCCAATGATCGGATCTAAACGAAATTACGGGACGACCCATGAGGTACCATCTTTCCGAAAAAAAAAGAAATTGAAATCGGTTCACGTGGTCCAAAGTTATGCGGTAGCATACATAAAAAAAGAAAAAATATTTTGACGAATTAATCACCTCCCTCTTTTTTGGAGTCGGTTTAAAATGTTTCAGTTCCTTGTTAATTTCATGTAATAAAGTGCAATTTATTAAACTTTAAAAGGTTCATTTTTTATTACATACTGTACATAAAGCTTGCACAAATGTATTTTAAAGAGCATATTATCCGAAGCAAATTTCAGAAGTATAAACCCCTCCCAAAATATATTCCTGGGTGCGCCCCTGGCAGCACTGCATAGTTTTCGACGATTTTCGTCGTTTACTTATTTCAGCTCGACAGTAGACAATTCCAATGTTGTCGAGTCTTACAATTTAGCCTAATTTACGACTTAGGCAATGAGGCTGCTTGTTTGAATTAAAATTTTCTAAAACCATTTGACTTCGAGCCGGCTCAACTACCAAATTCACCTTTATGTCAACAGCAGAAAAATTATACGTACGTCAACAGCAGCATACCCGGGTATGCACACATGATTCAATAATAAAAGGTTTGCTCAAAAAACATGTTTCTCGCTTCCTCTTGACAAAATCGGCTCCCTTGGCAAGGCACTGTGTGTGGGTTCGTGTATGTGTGCAAAGCTTTTGTAAGGGAGCTAATACTAAGTTCACATATAAGTTGATTATCCTCATTTTCGAGCTTAACACCCTAATCTGTAATTAGAACAAGAGATTAGCCATATAAAATTCGTCCCTTGTTAATCTGTAATTATAAAATAATCTCAGATTTAACCGATAACTTTTCGGTGTCATCCTAGTTTTATCGATGGGTTTTGCGAAAAAGAGGAGAAATGCCAAATGTAAAAGTAAACAAAAATGGATGCTAGCAAGGAACAGAGGTTTCTAAAGGTATTTTTAATAAAATGTTAAGTTAAAATATATTTATATTGCTTAATATAGCAGAAAAACGTGATCACGGTGGCACAGAGAAGAAACATAACTTTTCCTTGAGATGTGAGAATAATAAGCACAGCAAATTTTACGGCTAATAATCTGAGATTTGCCTGTGTAAACGGGGTGATTAAAAAACGAGCTTTGATTGAGATAATAGTGATATGTGAACATACTTTAAGGGAGTGTCAAAACTCTAATGTCACCAATGAGAAAACCTTTAATTATTGAATCATGGTATGCACATACATTTTGTATGGGAAACGGCGTTGTGTTGTGACGAAAATGTTAATATTTAACACATTTCTTTTAATCCGCATACATTTTTATTGTTATTTTCTGAAGAAATATGTTTATTTTAAATATGTGAAGAAAGATTTGAGAAATATGTTGCTCTGCCGTAAAATAATGAGTTTCTTAGAACACACTCTATGATTGTTGGTTTTGAATGTATATAAAAAGGATTGTTTAGGTAAAAAACGTGTATGATTATTGAAACAGGGCTTTTGCAGGTAGGCGCAAATAATTCTTGTGATGTCTCTTGTTACATCAGGAAGTTCAAAACTTGAACCAACCTGCAGAAGCTCTAATATTTACTTGAATACATGTTGTGCGAACTTGAAGACAGAAGAGATATGAAGTTTTTATGACCAAGTGTTACGCAACGAAATAAAATTTATTAAAGTAAAAATGGCAAATGGTGAATGGCTCACTCCAAGACACCTTAGTGCACTTGATCCTGAGGGGCAGCATGGATACATTCGCCAGAGGTTAGAAAATTTAGGAGAGGAAACCAGTGACGACGAGCATTTCGTATCTGAATAGATTGTGGACGATAACAAAAATGATGTAACTCCAGTTGACTCCGATATAGAAGAAATCAAGCTATCAGAATACGACCCGGAAGATCTTGAGGAACTTGGCGATATACCGGGGAAATTATACTGCCAAAGAAGGAACAATTTGAGCTGCTCCATCACCACAAACTGCCTGATTCCGAACCTACAACATACTCAGGTCTGAAAACATGGACCAGTACGTGCCGAAGAATAATAAATCAGTTGTGGTCTTTTCAAGAATGCATTAGATAACCGAAGTAAAAGGTCTTAAGAAGAAGCCACTACTGATATTAGATTACAACCAAAGCAAATGTGGCGTTGATAATATAGATAAATGCCTTGCAGAATATTAAACCAGTCGGCCTTCGGCATTTTCTTATAATATTCTGAATGTAGCTGTCCTTACTACGGACATAATTTACGTCGAAAATCGCCCACACCTGAAAACCTCCGAAATCCGACTAGAATGTTCCTTCATCAACATAGTTGGCAACTGTCGAAATCTTAAATAGAAGTGAGAGCTAGTAATAGTCGAATAACCAGAACACACAACGTCATTGAAGCAATAAACGGCGGTCCTTTGAGGATAATGGATGTTGGTATTTAGGGAGCAAGGAAGAACGTGACAGTGCGGGCAGAATAAAAACAAATGGTAATTGTTCTATGTCCGCCCACCAAGGAAAACCTGCATATTGTTCAACAGACCCATGTATGCAGAACATTCTACTAATATGTTGCAATGTAATATCTAGATGTAGTTAAAAAGTTAGTAATTTACAATTGATTAATATTTTTTTTATTTTACAAGTATTGTATTACTATAATATCATTATATTCTTGTATTATTTTAAGAATTTGATTCGGAATTATATTCTTGTATTATTTTAAGGATTTCATTTGAAATAAAGTTTACTTTTCAGATGTATCAACATACATATTTGCATAAGATTTCATATACATACCCGGTTATGCAGCTGTTGACGTAAGGGTTAAAAGTCGAAAAATGGCCAGATCTCTGGCCCAGGTGGTCCAATCCCAACCAGACTTGGGAATATGACGTAAAACACTTCTGTTGCGGATATCATTAAATTTCAAGTCAATCCGATGTCTAGTTTCCAAGATATAACAGTTTTAAAACGCAAGACATACCCGGGTATGTTGCTGTTGACATAAAGATTAAGAAGTAAAAAGGTCGCCAAAACCATCATCACTAAAATATTTCACAAACTTTTAAATTTTATCTCCTAAATACGCTCCAAAAATCTTCACAGCAACCACAAAAATGGAATTGCAAACTTTGTAGCAACTGCAGTTGTCAGTAGAGAGTTGCCATCTGTAATATCGCTTCGGCAACTGGAAACGCAACTGAAGTTCGGTTGCTACCGATAGTCTACCTATAAATCTATCCTCGCCATTGCCGCCACACACGGATAAAAGTTTGCTACCCTGTTTACACATTAATTGCTAAAGAACAATTTTTTGCTTGAAACTAACCATATCTTTTCTGATTACAGGAGTTCTTTACGATCAGTTGCATCCTGATGAGGATGGCGTTCCTTGGAACCTTACTATACATTTTTCGAAATTCCCCGAAGACTTATTGGTAAAAATGTCAACTAGGTAGGTGTTAAGCAACTAATAAAAATGAGAAGTCCCACTTAACGTACTAATATGGATAGGGAATTGTTGGAATCACATTTTATGTCATGCCTAAAGGAAGCCGATGTTCTTAAGCATCGAGGTCAAATAATATCTTCAATGCAAAAAAAGGATCACAATCAACTCTGGCAAGGTCTGGGTAATGACAAGTTTGATCAGTTTTGGGCAATTAATCGGCGTCTAATGGAGCCAAATGGGGAGCAAGAAACCTTTAAATACATTCCTGTACGATTTTATTCGGAAGTGAGTATCGTTTTCTTAATTCTAATCATAAACACATAAGGACTTCTATTAGTACTGTTTGGTATATAAAAACGTTTTCGACGTAGGTAATTGTTGAGGAGTTCCATAACAAAAGGCAATAATTCCCCTATTTGTTTTGCCGTGGAGTACGTCCAATGTTTTAAATAAAAAACGGATTAATTTATGTTAGAATTATTTCGTTTTGTCGCACAAATGACGCGAAATACTGGCTTATTTTGGGGTAAATTTTGAGATTTTGAAGTACAAGTAGCACTTAGGTTTTGCATATAACTTTCATTCTGGGAACTTAAGTTCTTGAAATGGCGCTGGTCACATATCAACCCACAGAAGACACTGGTCATGCGAAATAATTAGTAGCTGATGGCACATATGATTGCAGTTAATGCGGTTATGTTTACAGAAATAAAAACATTTTCCAAACTGCGTCATCTTATATGAATTCTAATGTAAAATTGTCCGTTGAATCAGAATATAAGAAAGTAGAACAATTTTTGAGATATAGCCAAATTTCGGTTTTTATGATCTGAAAAAAGTGAAATATGTTTTCTTCATGTTTCTTTCTTGGACTTCAAAGTATAAATACAATAACACCTTATCTAAATTGAGTAATAAATCGAGCCCCAACCGCAATTTGAGTGTAACCAACAGAAAGAAGATTATGCATAAGTGTTTTTTTTAAATTATCTTTAAACAAAGCAGAGTTATTAACATGAAAGTAAGTAATGTTTTTGCAGTTACATCTTTTTTGCTTTTAGGTTGGACAGTGACCATACTGTTCATTAAAGCTTGCAAGTCTTCAAGTGCCCCTCCCACTTCTTCCGCTTGTGTTGGTCTACGAGTTGCTGATTCTCCGCATTGAGATCCCTGATACGGGGTTTTCCGGTATAAGCCTGGCGAAGGTAGTCACGCTCGTCCGTTAGAACAGCCGCTTCGTTGGAAAATGTGGACGTCTTTACGCGATGCATCCAGCGTAAATTAAACGGGCTGCAGCCGGAGTGACAACTTTGCCGAATTTGCGTTCGCCAAAATGAACGTTTATTGGTGAGGCAAGGACGGCGAAGGTGCTCTCGGTAACTTCATCAAAGCCTTTCCAATCAGTTTTGGTAAAGTTAGTTTTGGTTCGGTGTTCCGCAGAAGCAAATTAGGCGATACAATTGTAACGACAGCATAAGTCGCCACGTTCTGCTGTTTATCAGACCAGCACTAGTAATTGCTATGTCGGGTCAGATGCTTCAGCTACCTATAATACTTGTGCGGGCGTCTTCGTTCAGACTGGAGCAAATTGGGGCCACTAATGATATGGTCCACTCCTTCTGAAACCTGAGATGCTTAAGTGACTCCATCCCTTGCAGGTGTTGCACCTGACTGCAGTAGTTAGTTGTAGTCTTCTCTGTTCGTCATCTCTTGTCAAATTTTGTTTTGAGGCAACCGGGTTTCTGCGTTTTGAAAAAAACCATTTCATTAGTTAAGAAACAGGTTTCAATTCAACAATGTGTTTTAATAATGCACTAATTTTAGTTATGTATACTGTATATGTAAATTATGTTTTTAATACTTGTAGGAAGATGCCTACGTACAAAAGTTAATAACACCTTTAAATAAAAACGGACAAAAGAAAACACTTGGTGAAATGATTACTGAGTTATCGTCGCCGCTTAAGAAAGTTGGTAAGTTGAAGCGGAGAAGGAAAATATAAATATTTACATTTATAAAAACTAGTTTTGTTGTTTTAGTTGAAGTCCGAACACATGGTATCAGCATTCACGATGAAGCACATTTACAGTGGTTATCCGAGCATCTTAGTTATCCAGATAATTTTTTACACTTATTTTTAGTCTATGATAGTAACCCTTAATATTTTAAACATGTAAGTAAAGTTACAAAGTCATAAAGTTTCTTTTGTTCGATTTGGTTAGCAGTAAAGAGTGATTCGTAAAAGCTCTGTTTGGGTCATAATTATGGCTAAATAAATTAGTTTAATAATAATAATAATAGATTGGCGCTTACACATATGAGCTAGAATTCATGAAATCGATCAGTAAAAATTAAAGTTTGTTGATTTTTAATTTTAATATGGTGGATGTGTAATTCAGGAGCATGGAAAGTGATTCCCATCAACAAAACTTCGAAAAAATATATATTTCGCAAGTTATTGCATAAACAATTTTTATGGCATTTTTTCTTCGATTCACAATATCTCATAAATTATTTAACCGAATTGAATGAAATCTTCAGGGCTTATTCCTTTTATGTCATAGTTTCTGTTGACATATTTTTTTTTAATGCAAATTTTATTTTTGTTCCTTTTTACTAATATTTATACTAAGAAAGTTTTTGCAAAACATCGTTCTGGAGCAACAAAAAATTTGAAAAAAATTAGAAATATTCTTCCAGTTTTATTAAATAACATGTGTAAATTTCCAAGTGTGTGTATTTTTCGTTTAGAAGATATCAGCAATTAAACCTGGCTCTGCATGTATAGCATCTTTGATTTTTAGATTTTTGAATAACATTTTTTTTAGATTTTACTTTTTTTTTAAATTGAGTCAGCTAACAGAGTTGTACGAAAGTGGTAATTAATATTGCCACGTGTGTAAATTATTGAACGGTGGTAGCTTGGTTATACGCGACGAATAACGACTGTCTTATAAGCAAGTGTACGTAAAAGAAGTAAGTAAGCAAAATAGCAGCAACGAACATTATTCGCTTATTGTTATCTTTTATATTGCCAAATTCAGACCCATTTCTCCCCTCTGAATACCTGTTGCAATCCTCATAATAAGATGTGTAAGCTTGCAACGGACTACAAGCGACCAAATAACAAATCCAAAGGCTTTATATGAAGAGTGCCAAAGCTACTTCAAAGGCATCGCTTTTGTCTTTTACGCAGAGGCCGATTACGATGTAGAAAGCCAGTCGTTGGAGAAACGTTTCCTTAGAGCAGCGACAATAAAGAATACCAGAAATTTTCACTCTTTTGTACCAATTAACACACAGCAAATCACTTGCAGAACTTATTCAGCATCTGAATCACTAATTGAGAACACGATCATTTCATGAATTCTCAGTTTATCGGTTTCATGTTTATACCATCATACGTTGGAATTTACTTTGATGCAATAAAAGCCATATACTCAAATTTTGTGTATAACCTATTAGAAAAAAACCGTATTTGTTTTTTATTTTTTGATGTTGGTTTCTACCGGACTTGAACCCAGGCCCTGCGGAATGATAGCGCGCACTGCTAACCACTGCACCACAGAATCAAAAATAAAATTTATTCAAAAATCTAAAAATCAAAGATGCTATACATGCAGAGCCAAGTTTAAGTGCTGATATCTTCTAAACGAAAAATACACACACTTCGAAATTTGCACATGTTGCACATAAGACTGGCAGAATATTTTTAATTTTTTTCAATTTTTTTGTTGCTCCAGAACGATGTTTTGCAAAAACTTTCTTAGTATAAATATTAGTAAAAAGGAACAAAAATAAAATTTGCATTAAAAAAAATATGTCAATAGAAACTATGACATAAAAGGAATAAGCCCTGAAGATTTCATTCAATTTGGTTAAATAATTTATGAGATATTGTGAATCGAAGAAAAAATGCCATAAAAATTGTTTATGCAATAAGTTGCTAAATGTATATTTTTTTGAAGTTTTGTTGATGGGAATCACTTTCCATGCTCCTGAATTACACTTCCACCATATTAAAATTAAAAATCAAAAAACTTTAATTTTTACTGATCGATTTCACGAATTTTGGCTCATATGTTAGTGTTTGGCCGAGCTTCTCCTCCTATTTGTGGCATGCGCCTTGATGTTGTCACACAAAGCGGAGGTACCTACAGTTTTACGCCGACTCCGAACGGCGATTGTATTTTTATGAGAAGCTGTTTTTCATGGCAGAAATACACTCGGAGGTTTGCCATTGCCTGCCGAGGGACGACCGCTGTTAAGAAAAAACCTTTTTGCTATATTTTTTTTGCGATGTTGCTTTGACCAGGGCTTGAACCCAGGTGCACTGGAGTGGAAGCGCGCACTGCTTACCACTACACCACAGCGGCCGCTAAATTAATTTATTTTACATTAATGGGTAGATTATCGATAGCAATCGAACTTCAGTTGCGTTGCTAGTTGCCAAAACGATATTACAGATGGCAACTGGCAACTGCAGTTGCTACATAATGTGTATACAGGCGACTACATTTTAGTGGTTGCTGGGAATGTTTTTGGAGCGTATTTAGGAGCGAAAATTGAAAAGTGTGTCATATATTTAATAATTTGAACGATATTAACATTTTGCAATGCAGTTTGCTTTTACAGAATATGGTGAAAATAACAAACGAATATCTTGAAATTTTAGTTCTCGTGGACAACACCCTTTTGGCGAAACAAAAGCGAACACTGATTGCAATTTTTTTTCTTTATCAATTGAAGCACCTCTTTTAAAACTACCGACACACCCAGTTTTCCAAATTAAAGTCATTGCTGTGGCACTTCCTTCTGCGAAAAATCGAAGATGTGCGCAAGCTTTTATGAGCGGAGGTATTGAAGTTGAACGAAGTGGTTCATCTGTTTATTAACCAATTATACTACAGCTTCTTTTGGAAGTCCTCAATATGCTTTGAAAATGGACACAAAACGATAACAAAAGAAACCATTAACTTTTGCTTACAGTACACGCGGTAGCTCTAGAGGATTGGAATTATCCTTTAAGTGTCGCCTGATTGAGGACGCGTTCATGCATTTCTCTTCCTCCTAAACAAATAATTGTGATAAATTTAGCTTTATTTCTGTCTTTTCTTTAAAACTCTTCATTTTAATAATTTAATTTTACTCGCACAGCTTGTTTGCAGACGCTTGCTGGTTGTTGAACTGTCAAATTTCGATTATCGATAACTCTACAGCAACTGACGATAGTTGCCATTCGTAATACACATTTTCTTTCCAGTTGCATTGCCAGCTGACAACCGAAGCGTGGTTGTGTTGCCATCCGTAATCGAGCCATAAAATATACTTCTCATTATATATATACGAGTGTCATAGGCCACCCGTCCACCCCTTCTAAAATGCTCTATCTTTCGGTCATATTACCGACTTCTGGTGTCGGGCGAAAATGGGTTAAAGAGACCGAAACTCCATTATTTTAAATGGGACATATGACTCGGTGAGTTCGACAACCGTACAAGTTTAATATTGGTTTTTTTGGTTAATATTAAAAACCGTAAAAGTCAGGGACATGTACGTTTTTCTCCTCATTTCACGGGTGCAGTCAGTTATGCTACGTTAACCGCTAGGTATCTGGCACGGTGAAATAAGAAAAAAAACCACAAAAAAGTTATTTTAGACTTGTACGGTTGTCGAACTCATCCATTCATATCGTCGATGTTTTTGCAAAACCGCCCATCGCCCAATTGCAAAACCGCCTATCTTACGGCACTCAAATTTTACAGGGGAGCGAAAAACGGTTTATTCTTTGAAGGCATTGCCTTGATAGGCAGTATTTTCTCTAGCTTTTATTTTACAAATCTGTTGTTTTAATAACGATTTAACGATTTTTATGCATAAATCTCGATACCTGGAGTTCAGGGTTACCAAATCTCATGTTGCCTTTTTCAACTTTTTAATGACCTTCGCTCTTCAACTTGTCCTGTAGCCGGATTCCAGCTTTCGATAGAGCTAATTTTGATGGCCAAAAATCTCCAAAAGACATCTAGTTACATGCCTCTATTACAGCCAGATTTGGCTGATACACATTGCATCTGTTACTTTTCCATGTTGTATATTTTAGGCCCCACTACTTTTCATTCGAAGAATTTCGACGACGAAAATTGAGTGTAGCGATTGTCAAAATTCCACTGGAAATGGAAGATACAGATTCGTATTCTGCGGTCAAAAACAACTTTTGTTAGAAACTTTGGCAGAATCCGAATATGTGGTAAAAGTTCGTAGGTATGTATGTATGATTTACAAAAATGGACTTTCGGTATGTTTGCACTTTTCTTTAATAGCCAAAAATCTCCAAAAGAATAACAGAAGCGTAGAATCTCACTGCAGAGCGAGTTAAATCCGACTCTGTGGTAATGAGCATGTACATATGTATATCCTATTTAACAGAATGGACTTCCGGTCGGTTTCACCCAGTGTTCGGATTTGCCTCATTTCAGCCCCTTACTCGCTCATTAGTTTGCTCTAAGTTTCCGCAACTCACCGCGTATCAGCCGAGGCTGTTTGCAAACGTGTTCTCGTTAAATACGAGCGCACGCGCTGAGTAGCCAGCAGATGAGGAAGCAAACGAGGGCAGCGCAAGCAAAGGAGTGCCTCAATAGTTCTGCCCTCATGAGCGCGTCGTTGCGAGCGAGGCACACAGTTGCAGCAGCATACGAGCGAGGCGAGTAGATGAGGGAGGCATATGATAAGAGGCAAACAGATGAGACAGGCAAACGGATTGTTAAGAAAAAAATTGATGAGATAAAAATTGCATCAGCTAAGAATTTCGAATAAACGATTGCATGTACGCATGCATAAATATATGTACCTATGTATATACATTAGCGTGCCCATCGAACATTTTTTTTTTGGAAATTTCAAGACCCTATTTTTATAGATTTTTTAAATGTCATTAAGAGGTCGCGACCTGTCGATTTAGGTCAGAAAATACGATTTTGTAGATTTATGAGTTTTTGAATGACTATTTTTGATTCGATTTCAAAGATCGTATATCGATGGCTGAGTGGAAGATCGACCTATCTCGGCAGCCAGTTAGAAAACGCCCTATCGCAGAAAACTTTTCAAGCACGCCCTACTTCAGAATTTGATTCAAAAACGCCCTATTTCAGAATTTTATTGAAGAACACCCTATCTCAAAATTCGGTTCAAAAACACCCTATCTCAAACGAAAATACATTGAAAATAAGCTGAGATAGGGCGTTTTTGAATCGGCAGCTGGAATGGGGAATTCGTCAACCAAATTCTGAGATAGGGCGTTCTTGAAAAGTTTTCTGAGATAGAGCGTTGTTGAAAAATTTTCTGAGATAGGGCGTTTGCGAACTGGCTGCCGAGATAGGTCGATCTTCCACTCAGCCATCGATATGGTCTGGGAAGAGGATATGCAGGCCTTTAAAATGGTATATAATAATAATTGTCGGACTTGGCTTGTTGGAATTTTTTATCGTGTAAAATAAAAAAAAAACATATTTCTCTTAATTTTTTAAATTTTGACCATCGATATTTTCCACAATTTCAAAATATGTAGTACTATCAAAAATTAAATCTATTTTTAAATAACCTAATAAATATGTAGTACTATCTAAAATTAAATCTATTTTTAAATAACCTAATAGCTCATTTATTGCGACCGCATATAAATTGTCGAGGTTAGGCGACTTTTCTTAAATATGGCCTTTAATTTATATTGTTTATGTACCGGACTTTCAGATTTTTTGAGCAATGTGACTAAGGAATTCATCAATATTTATTCAAAATTGATGTATACAATCGATCGTTAGCAAAAAACTGGTTCCCAAGAAATTTTAGGAAAATGGAGGAGGCACCGCCTACTTATATGATATATGCGTGTCTTAAAAACTACTTGACCGTGTGGTCAGCGTAGCTGGCGTTGGACTTACGAGGACTATTTTTTGCCGAAAAAATTACATCGACGTCGAAAACCATGGATTAATATAAGTAATACAATGCAATTTTGGGCAGAAGTTCAAACTTATGCGGATGCAGGTGGCAACCAATTGTTTTTCGATCTGACGGAATTTGCACTTCATTTACTTTCTCTACCTTGGTGTAATACAGACCTGGAACTTTATTCAGTCAGTTTCACTTGTTGAAAACAACTTTTACTCTTATTTTTAATTTCTGGTGAACTTCGATCCCAGCTGTATTATTCGAATACACGGTTCAACAATATTTGGTCGTATTTTATCTCAAACACGGGGCTGACCTAATCTTATAGCTTTTAAAGCGCGATTTTCGGGTTTTCTCTTTTTTAAAGACTTTTTCGTAATATCTCAAAATATAAGGTCTCGCCCAACGTGTTCAGCGACCTTGAAAAAACACCTTAAAAAATTTCAATTTCATGAGGGATTTCGTGTGCGCACGGATTGAACGAAGAATGTTAATATTTTTGGACCACATTTTCAGGGGATGGTTTTTAGCCATAATGAAAGCTGAAAATTCAAGAGCGTCAAAAAAGAAGAACTTCCTTTTTTTCTGGTCATTCTAATATATGTATATATTATAAATGAATTATAAAAAATCACAGTTTTCTCGAAAAGTTACCAAGATACGACATCGACTTTTGATATTCTGCAACAATAGTTGCGTTCGATAAATTTTGCCAACACCAGCCAACAATCAAAATCAAGAGCGTAAGCGAAAATTCTCTGCCAAAGAGAAGAAAAAGCAAAAAAGTAAACGAACAGGAAATTAGCCATCACTTGCAAAAACCGGAAGAAGACACACCAGCTGACTTTGTTTATGTTTTATTTGTAAACAAACTGAAATTCATGTTGCTTCCATGTAAGAAAAAAGGAAAGTGAACGTTCAATGTTCGCCAGGAACATTTCTAGAAGTAAAAACTAGTTGGCACTATCATAAAGTCACATAGCAGGCAGCCAAAAAGCATATAAATACCAATACTCGAAAAATGCAATTTTGTTTGTTTACAAAAATTGCAACCATATGTTTTGTGATCATATGTTTTCGTGATGTATAATTTTGGCTGACAAAAATTTTGCCAGTACAAAATGAACGCTTCTCTTGTATCAAAATGAACGCTTGCTCTCTCAATTTTTGTGTGTTGGATAATGTTTTGTCGTTATTGAACGCCATCCAGAAAAATTTGGAAAAACTATTACAAATTTTTGACTTGTCGAACGCTACTAATATTGTGGGTGGTTTTCATATGGGATTAAAAGGATTATGGGATTTCAAGACCCTACCCTCTGATTTTATTCGTTTTTATGACAAATATTGCCTATTTTTATAGATTTTTAACAGATTTTTTACTTGTCGACTTAGATCAGAAAGTAGGATTTTGTAGATTCATGAGTTTTTGAATGACTATTTTTGATTCGATTTCAAAAATCGAATATGATCTGAGAAGAGGATATACGGGGGTGGCCCCAGAAGTACCCGACCTAACAAAGAAGACACACTTTTTTTTTTTTGAAAATTTCAAGACCCTACCCTCTGATTTTATTCGTTTTTATGACAAATATTGCCTATTTTTATAGATTTTTTTTATAGATTTTTTACTTGTCGACTTAGATCAGCAAATAGGATTTTGTAGATTCATGAGTTTTTGAATGACTATTTTTGATTCGATTTCAAAAATCGAATATGATCTGAGAAGAGGATATACGGGGGTGGTCCCAGAAGTACCCGACCTAACAAAGAAGACACAAAAATTTTGGGGAAAAATATATTTATTTTTCAACATAATCTCCTTTCAGCTCTATACACTTTTCCCAGCGAAGAACTGTCTTGCTACTCATTTACTGCCGACATCATTTCTTCATCGTTAGAAAATCTTTGACCACGGAGCCATTTTTTGAATTTGGGGAACAGAAAATAGTCCGAGGGGGCTAAATCTGGCGAATAGGGTGCATGAGGTAGCAATTCAAACATTAATTCATTAATTCGCTAAACACTCAATTGAAACCTCTTCACGACACTGTTTTTGGTCGAGTGTGAGCAAATGCGGCACCCATCTTGGACACAGCTTTCTCATTTCCAAATCTTCAGATAATATGCGATGTACCGTACTTTTTGAAATGCCTTCTATATCTGCTAGCTCGCGCACTTTCAGTCGACGATCATCCATTACCGCTTTGTGGATTTTCTTCACCATTTCTGGAGTCTTCACCTCATTTGGTCGATCACTGCGATGCTCGTCTTGGCAGCTCGTACGTCCTCGTTTAAACTCTGCTACCCAATATTTTACTGTTGTAAACGAAAGAGCAGACCCGCCCAAAGTATAATCTATTTCAGCTTTTATATTGGATAGGCTGAGGCCTTTCAAATAAAAGTATTGTATCACATAACGATGACCAATTTTCTCCATTTTCACAAATTCACTGAAAACGTTCACTATTGACGGCTGCCAACCATATACTAAAGAACATGGCGTCTTCAAACTTGAAACATATGCTTTGTAGATTGTGTACTTTTTAATACTGTGATATTTTTCAAACAACTACCGCCATCTCTAGGTTAGGCCGGGTACTTTTGGGACCACCCCCGTATAAGACTTTAAAATGGTATATAATAATCTATTGTCGGACTTGGCTTGTTGGGATTTTTTTATCGGGTAAAATAAAAAAAAAAACATATTTCTCTTAATTTTTTAAGTTTTGACCATCGATAATTTCCACAAGTTCAAAATAAATATAATAAAATAAATAAATAAAATTAAATCTATTTTTAAATAACCTGATAGCTCACTTATTTCAATCGCCTAAAAATTGTCGAAGTTAGGCGACTTTTCTTAAATACGGCCTTGAATTTATATTGCTTATGTACCAAACTTTCAGATTTTTTGAGCAGTGGCTAAGGAAATCATCAATATTTATTCAAAATTGATATATACAATCGCTCTAAAGAGCNTTAGGCGACTTTTCTTAAATACGGCCTTGAATTTATATTGCTTATGTACCAAACTTTCAGATTTTTTGAGCAGTGGCTAAGGAAATCATCAATATTTATTCAAAATTGATATATACAATCGCTCTTTAGCAAAGAGGTGTTTTTTTAAAGAAATTTTAGGAAAATGGGGGTGGCCCGCCCTCTTTTTAACCGACTTCCAAAAAGGAGGAGGTTATCAGTTCGTCGGAATATTTTTTATTTTTATTTTATTTTATTTATGCATGTTACCGCATAACTTTGCACTACGTCAACCGATTTCAATAATTCTTCTTGCAGCGGAAAGGTAGTGTCTCAGAGGTGGTCCCATACTAATTTGGTTTAGATCCGATCATTGGATCATGAAATATATAGATATACATATAAATATTTTTTTAAGTTGGTTTTTTTTTGCTAAAAATTACTTGTATCACATATGAGTATCTCAAAAACTAATTGACCGATCTCAACCAAATTTGGTATACACATTGCGGTTAGGTTCTTAAACGCCATATTGAAAATTTTTGAAATCGGATAAAAACTACGGGCTCCACCAACGTAACGGTAATTTCTAAAAGCTCAAAGCTAGCTATATTTTACGGGGAGTCGGTTTTGTCCAATTTCAAATTATTCACGGCGGTGTAAGTAAATATACACTCAAGCCGTTCGGACGTGTTTATTTTTCGCTCCGCAATTTCTCAAATTTTCGCCGGAATACACTTTATTTTCCGCCAGGTTTATAATCCTTAATTGGGACAATCAATCTTTTCAACCGTACGGAAGTGTCTTAGAATTTAAACATTACCAAAAGAAATTAAAGAAATTAAACTAATTATATCCAACCAAAAACACAACTCACTTGCGCTATAAGCAAAACAAAGCAAATAAATAAAACTAATAAAGCAACAACCAGATGGTGTCCGCTGTCTACATTGC